TGCCTTTTTAAATTCATTTTTCTCTTCGGGTGTACCCTACCGATTATGTATATAATCAACCATCTTTTAAAACATGCAATTGTGAAAACTTCATAAAAGCACTAGATACCTTCCCTTAATATATTCATTTACACGCTAAGAGTATACACCAGATTATTCTCTAAGCATGTCCTTGTTTTCTTTTACATGCTAAAAATATACACCAAATCATTTCCTTGACACATTCTCATTTTTCTCTACATGCTAAGAGTATACACCGGATCATTCCCTTAGCATGCCCTTTTCCTTAAGAAAGGGTGATCATTCCTCTCCTATAACCTTAAAAAGGTACCTACCCATTCCTTTTTGAAAACATGTCTTTTTTCTTTTGTTTTCTTTTCATAAAAGCCATGAAGAAAAATCCTTTTCATGGTTATGATATGCAAATGAATTGTATGAAATGCATTCCTTTACCTTTCCTTTTCCTTTTCCGTTCATTAAAATCATGAATATAAAACCTTTTCATGATTTATTATATGCAAATGCATTTAATTAAAAATTAAATGCATCAATATAAATATCAACATGTATACTTTCAAACCTCAAGAACATGTAATATAAATATTACATCAAATGCATGTTCCGTATAAATTAAGTATACATGGAAAACATGAATACATCATAAACATAAATCATGCCTTAAAAACAATCATTGAAATATTAGGCAACATAATCCTTCTATGTTTCACATGATTACAATCATTTTTCATGCCAACTTATATCTCTAAACCTCAAATTTAACATTAACCTCAAATTAACCTCTTATTCCTTAGTTTCCTATTCTTGGCCAAAACTAGGCTAGTGGAAGAGCAACTTTCAATTCATCTTTTTACCTCAATTTTTTTTTAATCTCTAACCACTTAACCTAATATGTTTTTTTTTTATCATTTTAATATCAATTAGGTTAAGTTAATCAAGTGAGCCAAACTTCATAATTGATCAAAAATCTCTAACAAAGTGATCAAGTTTCAAGTTTTCCAATTTAACACCAATAACACCTTTAAGGTATATCATCAAAAAATTTGCAAACATTAGGTCTTAAAATCACTAGTTTATTCATGTTTAAGGGTATTCATCCATCGTGTTCTATGAACAAGGAAAACCTTAAAAAACATTAATTTAGCCTAATTAATCATCTAATTATAAAAATTTCAACATCCGAAACACATATTCATCAATATAACCACCAAATTCAACTAACAACATTGTTTCTTAAACAATTTAACCATTAATCCATAAGCAATTAAACTTCAAATTAGCATCAATTACACATCAAAAATACTATTTTCTTATAGTGTAGTGAGGATTACACTTATCTCACTTAAAGTTTGGCCAATCTTCCTCGTTTTCCTCCTTGGTTTTCTTTCTCTCTTCCTTCTAAAAAATTTCAGCCCAAATAGTTTTTTTTTCTCCTCTTTTGTTTGATCTTCCAAGCTAGTTCTAAGGTGATTTTAGGGTTTTTCAAAGGTATCTAAGGTAGTTTGGAGTGGTGGTTGGGTGGTTTTCTTCTTGGTTGATGGAGTTACTCATTTATAGTTGAATGCTTTTAGCTTGTAATAGTTCTTCCAGCTTCTTCTTCCTCTTTTATAGCCATGATTTTCCCTTAAGATTAAGCTAAGTGTGTTACACTTGGTTTAATCTTAAGCTTGATTATTAATGGCTTATAGAACTTTTTCTTCTTCCTCATCTTTTCTTCTTCTTTTTCCTTAGATATTTTCTCTTGTTTCTTCCTCCTTAACCAACTTTCTCCTTCCTCATTTCTCTAATTTTTTTTTCAGAATTCTCTAGCTAAATTTTTTTCCTTAAAATCAATTAATAAGTCCCCTAAAAGGTTAACACTTTACACTTTAGTCCTAAACTTTTAATCTTTGTAATCAACCCTTCTAATTTTAGTTTGTAACTTCACAATTTTCCTCAATTTGGCCCTTATCATAGACCTTTTCCAAGGGTAATTTAAGTCCCTAAAGTTGCTTAATCATTTTAATCGGGCACCTAAACTTTTAATTTTTGCAATTATGCCTCTAGGTTTTGCCATTATGTCCCTAGGTTAAAACATAGCCATATCAACTAAGGGTACCAATCTCTAATTCAAGCCTTAGTCATTCTATTACCCTTCCCTTTTAATCATACTTGTGTTTATTTCATTTGTAATTAAATTTTAAAATTTATTCTTCACATTTAGCAAACATACTTTTATTTATTAATTAAAATATCTTTACAATATATTTATATTTAATGAGGATTTTAGGCCATGGATATTATTTATCGTGTCTCTCTTCCCTCATATATATATATATATATGACAACAACTCCTTCTTAGGAAAGAAGTTGTTACCGATGTGGGCTTAATTTAACCTTATCCTTGTAAACCCTCTCGCCTTATCCTTTAGTAATCAAGATTATCCATCCACCAAAAATATCTTGTAGTCTTTAACTTAAGCCTATTGGTCCAAACTAGTTTGGCCTAATTATTTTCTAATTAATTTGGACCATCCAAATAAATTGAGTCAAATATTTTAAGAGAGGCCCACATTAGGAAACAATTTTTCAAATTATCCTTAAACCTAGATTAGGAAACTAATTTTCATTTTAAGCAACTGATTAGAAAAGTGGTTCTTAAATTAGAAAACCGATTTCCGAAATAAGAAACTCGATTTTCAAAATAGGAAATTTTTTTCTAAAATAGAAAACTTTTGTCAAAACCTTCGCCTTTCTTTTTTCCGTGAATGTTTAAACTTATGTGTGTGATTTAATAGATTCCTAAATATATTGACAATGCATTAAGAAGATAAAAGATATCTCTTTTATCTATTGATACATAAATCAATATTGACCTATAGTAAGACATCATGACTATCCAATTCTCTAAAAGGATTAATTAACCCATAATTACTTTTCATGAGCATGATTTTTATATAATTCAGCCTTCATATCAATTTATCATAGTGTAATCTCGAAGTTGGTTTATTGTTTATTTGATTATGATCATATAAGTTTTTTTCGATCTTTAAATGTCTTAACTCCCAAGTAAACTAACTATTCTCTATTTGTATACTTCTACCGTGGTCACAGATTCTTGAGGAGACATTCATCGAAATGTAATGTGATAACTCTTTTAGCATATAAGGAATGATATATCATATCTCTCGTCATTCATCTATCTCCATTAGATTCCTAATGCACCCAACGAATCACCCACATGTAGCTCTTTATCGAGTCTATTGAAATGGATGTCAAAGTACACCAATCTTCTAATAAGATAATCATAATGATTTCAAGTCAAAGGACTACTTATACCCATTCGTATGAGATTCTCATAGACAATACCACATAGGTTTTCATGACGAGTCATGTCTAGTGACATGTTCTCTAATATTATTCAGCTAAGTGCTTGCTTGACATCACCTTACCAGTAGGTGTGAGATCTCATATTGCCATCTTTTAGTAAAAGCATAGCACTCACAAGTCTTATCTCATATTGTCAATATTCAATCTTGACAATCCTATGACTTGAGTCATTTAATGATATCATATATGTGCATTGATGTTTGTCTCACATCTATTGATTAGTCATTAATGCATTGCATATCATATGAACTTCTATTTACTTCTATAAATTATAAATAACAAGAATTTATAGAAAAACTTCTTTATTAATATTAAAATACAATGATACAATACATCAAGCCATCCAAACAAGTTAGATCTAAGACATCTACACTAACAAGTTAGAGTTAATAGTTAGACCAATAAATAGCTAATGACATGGCATTTAGTCGGGAAATATTAGTTAGTATAATTGTCTTTGATGAGCTGGCGATTAAGGTTAGATAGTTAGAAGAATTAGATGGATTAGGATAAAAAGAGAGATTCGTTGAACTGAAAACAGAAATCAAATAGAAGTTCTCTCAATCTTCATCTTCTTCTTCCTCTCTCTAAATCTTCTTTCAGTCCGTCTTTGTTAAGCAATAATCTCTCGACAAAATTAGAGGTATGTAAATCTCACAATAAAACCAGTAACTTGATATTTTCCATTTTCTTTATCTTCAACCAAGTTACAGTTGTACCAACCAGGAGAACCATTAAATATCCGCAAATTTGGTCTCGTGAGAAAACTAAAATGCCTTCTGTTCTATATCTCCATGAATAGTCTAGCATGCATTCGTTGGTATGCATGGAACATCTTAAATGCTGAGCTAGTCCAGCAGTAAATGCACTGAAGCAAGAAGATAAACTTTTCTACAGACCTGAGAAAGGAAATATTGGCGTGATCCCAGGAGTGGATTACTGTCGTGATAGAAAGATTGAAGGAGTGGTCTTTGAAGGAGGGCTAATTGAATTAGCTCTCTTAGAACTATGAAACACAAAGCACTGGATGGGCCCGATTCGACATTTATTCAGACCTCAAGGGAGCAGGACTCAAAACGGTGGAGATTACAATTGATAGAACATGAGCCATTTCTTTGATAGATAGCATAAATGAAACTAAAGGTGTTATATATTTTTTGGCTAGGTACAGAATATTATGGTATGAAAATCTTTCATATGCTCAGATCTTCGCCTGCTGTATAGCTCCCACAAGCAAACGTATCTTTCTTGTCTGGTATATTCAGGCCATAATCATGTGTCAACAAGAGTTGGTGGCAGGATAGTTTTTTGTGAGAAGATCATGAATATTGTGAGTGAACTATTAAATGATCAATAAAAACATTAGAGGTAACCTCAGTATCTGTGCAATATTAAACAAGTATTAAAAAAGAAAATAAAATAGTGGAAGGCTATAGGATTATGGGGAAAAAAAATTCAGTTATTGGTTGCAAGTCTTCGAAGCAAAGTCCAGTAAACATTAGAGTAAGTGCAGTTGATTAAACAGTATAGATGATCTATAGCTCTCATCTACCAACAATATACTCTATAAAAGAAGATTTTGCCGTCAAGGTGAATTGACAATGGTAAGTGTTTCACTGAGTGGGAACAGATCGATTTTTCAGAAGAGGCTGTAGAGCTTTCACCACTATGCTCATATTTGGTCGAAAATTAGCTTCGTATTGCACAAGCAAGGCAACAACAGCAGCCAACTGTTTCCATTACATAACGAAAATCTATTAAACAATCTGCAACTAATCCATGCAATTTAAAAATCCAAAATATTATAGAAGTGATACCTTAGCAGCTGCTTTAAGAGGGAATTTCCCATCTAATTTAGGATCTACACATTGCTTCACCATATCTTCACTCAGCTTCGGAGTGGCCTTATGCAATACAGAATTGTTCAAATGACCAGCTATAGTGAAGATCGCAAATCCACCAACCAATAAAATTGAAGCATATGAGCAGCGGAAAACAGAACCAGATAAAGTTAGTACCCATGTCAAAAGGCTCTGCTGTCCTCTTGGTAGTGTATGATCAATAGGTTTACGGCCGGATAAAAGTTCCAGCAGGATGACACCAAAGCTGTAAACATCACTTTTTGAATTAATCTGTCCAGTCATTGCATACCTGGCATTAAACATGCAAGTTTCAGCATAGTTAACAATCTGAGAGAGATAACCATAACGTTTTTTCATTTTATCACTATAGTGGTCTATGTGCCAAAGCAAAGCCTAAGGTTGATAAATGTGAGAGTAAAAAAAAAAAAAGTTCCTCATTCTTTTTTGTCCTACTGAGCAGGCTTTTTCTCCTTGATATGATCATCATAAGTCGTTGAGTGAACCGACATTTTCCTTTGAGGGGGATGACAATGTCAAGTTATTTATTTCAATCATCTGGCTTGACCATCTTCCGGATGATTCCTCTCCAAGCTTCTACTTAAATGTGAAGAAACTTTTGGTTAACACATGATTAGACAGATCAGGATTTAATTTTTGTTTTCCAATACTCTATAATCCTAAAAAATGAAAAGTAAGAGTTACAGATAAAAGCTTACTCTGGAGCATGATAACCAAATGTTCCAAGAACACGAGTGGAATGAATATGTGCGGCCATGTCAGGTGCTTGATTTGACAAATGGAAATCAGCAATCTTAGCAACATCATCATCAAAAATTAGCACATTGCTTGATTTAATGTCACGGTGGATAATACGAGGATCTGCCTTTTCATGGAGATATTCCTGTCCTCTTGCTGCTCCAACTGCAATTTTCACTCTTTGTGCCCATGATACAGTAGGACCTGGCTCTGCCCCTTTTAACACCTTCCCTTCCTGTATCACCAAATTGAAGAATATTTTTGTATTACCAAGGAGATAAAAATTACTCATCCAACATTTCCATCTTAAAGATTTGACTTTGGATGAGTTATTTCCTACTTTCCATGGAAAAAGATACTACAATTTTCCAGGTTACTACAAGTTTATCATTCCCAGATGATTTAAGATGCTCTTAAGCAGCTTTTTGAATAGGAAACAAGAATAATGTTGTGGTATTATTTACCATCTAGAATATCATGAAGGGATCCTTGAGAAGCATGTTCATATGCAAGACACGGAGAGGGCGATCAACACAGTAACCAACAAGCTCAAGAACATGTGCATGTTTTAATCTTGAGACCATAGACACCAAAGACTAAGTCTTATTCAGAAAGCCGCATATTATATAGCATAGTCGAACATAATGCACTTCTGTGCATATGCCTAACCTGTGCTAAAAATTCTTGTTCTGGTTGCTTGCTTGGATCCAGCTTTTTGATTGCCGCGGCTTGATCACTTTTCAGAACAGCATAGTAAACTCTTCCATACGAACCCTCGCCAATTACAGTGTCAGCTCCAAGATTATCAGTCATTTCCTTCAGTTCATCTACTGAAATGGAAGGGACAGATATAGGTTGAAATTTTACAGTCTGCACATTATATGATACAGGCTCCTTCACTCGATTAGCAGCAGTATTGTCTGCATTGAAAACAGCTACTCAATTTCAACTTATATCATTAAAGCTAGAAGCCACAGAAGATGGAAAAAGAGAGGTTAGAAAGAAAGGCATTGACACAATGCCAAAAAGTGCATAATATAAGTATATTGGATAACATTTAGATCCAAACTTGTCAAAATTGGATCAATACTTGGTGTTAATAACCTGATAAAAAGCTAAGCACATTAATAAAACTGAAAATGTGAATCATGCAATATATCAGCAGCTCTTAGACGTTTCAACAAAGAGCTATAGGAAGAGTGAAAAATAAGGTAGTTAGGGATTATGGATTTACATGATGTGTGGTTTGGCACTTATGGTCTCGTATCAGTTGCTTTATGCATATCATCATCCTTGGAACAGCCGAAACAACTCATAATTCTCTTTTCAAAAATGCTCCCTGGTCACCAGAAGGAAAAAAATAAAAAATAAAAAATAAAAAACAGCTTGCATGTATAAGAGGAATGTGTCCTTGAAAGATGTAACTAGGGTGAATATTATTGCCACAGATTTGAAGGACTAGAAAGCAATTACTTACCCAAAGAATACAAGAGTTTCTAGCTTGCATGTACCAAATATCCATAGAAGGTTTAAAATCAAAGGAACAAGCTAAGATTTACCTTCTCAGGGTATACAGATAAGAAACATGCTACTTATGGCAATACAAACAATTGAGAGCAGAGCACTCCTTGTACTGACCATGCTTCCAAAATAAAATTTCAATGGATATTTGTAGAATTCAATCAATTTTAGAACGACATATTAAACAAAATCACCATATTTTAGTTTCAAAGTCCATCCAAAGAGAACGTTAAGCATGTTATGTGCAATCATTCTCATTGCAATTGAATGGAGAAGGGAACTCTTGTTTAAATGAGACAAGTATAGAGAGAGAGATATTCACCTTTTCGATGATGAGAATACCACTTTGTCACTGACGTTTACTTCAGCCAAATTCTCTGCTTCACCCTTCCTTCTTTGTTCATCAAACAAATTTAATATATAGAGCAACCAGTACTAACATCTTGTACGGTACATATTTATTTTTGTAGCACGAATTAATGCAGACTAAGACTAAAAATAGTAACATGGAAAAGAAAAGAACAATTGTATTTCTTTGACCCGGAGGGAGAGGCAAGTCAAGTAGTCTTTGTTCTTCTCGCCAACTAGGGGTGATCAAACGGTTCGGTTAACCGAAAACCGAATTAAACCGGACCGAATTGTGAAATTTGGTATGGGTATAAATTAAAAAATGTATAATTTATAACCGAACCGAAAAAACCAAAATAATTTCGGTTCGGTTCGGTTTTTTTTTTAAGAAACGGTTTGAACCGAAAACCGTTTTTTTTTTTAATTCCTAATTCTAATTCCGAATAAGTGAATAATATCTAATTATCTAATCATCTAACCCTAATTCGCTATCTCACACTCGGCAGCTCTCGCCTCCCTCTCCGCCTCCGACTCTTCCCGTCCCTCGTCTCCCTTACCTGCGACCCGCTACCTTTAGTCGTCTCTTTCGTCTTTCCTTTCCTTTTGAGGCGGACGAAGTCACGCAGCAGCCAATCGGCCACGGTCGCCGCCCAGCATTCCAAGCAAGCTCGCCAACGAACGAGCAAAATCGCCTCTCTCGTTCTCGTCTCTCGCACTCTCAACACAAGTCTTCTGCCGTCGTTCTTCACTCTCCGGTCTCCACTCCGAAGTGACAGCAAGTCTTTCTTCATCTCTCGCACTCTCCGCCTTTCACGGATCTCGCACTCTCAAAGCCTCACTCTTCTTCTGTCGTTCTTCACTCTCCACTCCAGGTGACAGCAAGTCCTCCGTGCTCCAATCCTCTTCTAATCTTCCTTTGTCAAGCTTCGTGTCTTTTAAGGTTAGTTTCTTTTATTTTATTTATTTATTTTTGCCCGATATGTGATAACAATAGTGTATTAGGCATAGATTATGTTGTTTTTTAGATTCCTTAGTGAGTTTTGATAACCGATATGTTTTTGTTCCGCATTATGGTGTTATCTTGGTTGGAAGCCCGAAGCCTTGCCTTGAAATGTTTATTGTGTCCTGTTGGCATCCGTGATCTGTTTTCCTTTTTGGTTGCCTGGAGTATGTGATTCTGCATTTTATTTGCGTTAGTTTGGTTATCAAGCTATGTTTTGGTTTTAGCTAGGGTAAGGGTGACGATTTGTTCATGTCTAACTCCTATTTTCTTTTCTCTTTTTTGTTTGTTTCGGCATTTTTTTGTTTTAGCTAACATGGTTATCAAGCTTCCCATTCCGCACTTTATGTTGTTTTCTCTTTTATTGATTGTTTTCCTTTCTTTCCTTTCAAATGAATAATGAAATGATTACTTGTTCCGGATGGGATTAGCACACGCCACCACTAGGAGGTATTTTTCCAAAGCTAGGAGCTACCTGTCCGTATTGTGTTTGGCACGTTTTATGTGACTTTGAATTTACAAGAACTTGAGAGGTTGGTGATTTTGTTGAAACCAAAGAAGGTGGTGGCGGGATCCTTGCTTGAGCTAGATTAACCCCGATTGAGAGAAGCGATACTAGTGCGAGACATTGTGCGGATAATAGCGAAACCGATCTCAAACGACTAGATTTCATTGCTTTCTTGGCTCATAAGATGTCTTCTATGGAGTGAAAAGGAGGACTTGTCTAGTTATGTTTGCTTGCAATAGCATATATATAGAGAGACGAGAGAGGGAGGAAGAAATATTTTCTCCAATATTTTCGTTTTTGCTTTTGGACTAGAAGGTTTATCTCTTTTTCCAATTCAAAATCTGTGTGTGAGGCATGTGATGGATCTTTGACTATTCAGCTTCCAAGTTCCGAAGCAAAACCTAAACTCGCAGATTTGGTTAGTAAGTTTGTTAGTATAATTTATCAGTCATGTGATGATCAGTCATGTGATTAAATAGTGTTATGATTGGTTAATGAGTTTGTTAGTCTAATTTATTAGTATAATAGTGTCATGATCGATCTGTTTTAGCTAACATGGATCCTCCCCTAGTGGTGCTAGTCTCGGTTACCATGTAGAGGACGGGAAATGGGAAGCTTGGAAACAATCAATACGGTAGCAAATGGATGTATGGAAATCTAGAATCGGTTGAAAGGAAAGACTAAAGAGCACGTGAGGATGTGAATGGTAGCCGTTAGGGAGGGAGTTGAGTTAGTAAGCTAACATGGCAAGAGTTGGTTATAGGCTGTTAGATTGAGAGGGAAAGTTAGTTAGAAATAAACACTCGTATAAATCATGAGTAATTCATTGTAAAAGAGCTATTCTGTCATTTTAGATCAATATTGAATTTACTCTTCTTGCTGATTTCTCTCGTTGATTACTTTATTTTCCGTTCTTCTTGCTTGGTTCTTGATTTGCATAACTAATTCTAAAATTAATAGTTGTTAAAATCTTTAACTCGTTGTTAATCTTCATTTAGTCTTGAAAGAATCATTAAAACCTGTAATTCATCATTTCATTTAGAATTTGGCATCACACAAGTAAAACTAAGCTAAATTCTTATCCACAAAGAACTCGTCCATTGTTGTTAAGCAATCTTTCTTCATTTATCTTCTCATTTTCTCTCTTTTAATCACATACATATAACCGAAAATTGGATAGATGAAATGAATGCTTAAAATCTCTACATAATTAAATGAATAGAGTTTAATTACTAAATGAATTCGAAAAAAAAATGAACATACTTTTTCATATACCCATGTAATTTTAATAGCATTTGTTTTGTGTATGAAAGCTATTAAGCTATTTATTTTAGGATTAGACTACTTTTTTATTTGCTATTGATTTAGGGGAGGATCTTCTAGAATTCTACCCAACTTTGGTATTGTCTAATTGTCTACTTGTCTTCACTCTTCATTATGGACGAGTTAGACACACCTTTTGTTAAGGCGAGGCGGTAGCATATGCCTATATTTGATTTTAAGGTTAGACTACTTTTTTGTTTGCTACTGATTTAGGAGAGGATTTTATAGAATTCTACCCAATTTTGCTACTCGTCTAAGTGTCTAACTGTCTTCACTCTTCAATATGGATAGTTGGACACACCTTTTATTAAGGCAGAGGCGGTAGCATCCGCCTATATTTGATTTGAGGGTTAGACTACTTTTTTGTGGTTATCAACAGTAGGCGGTTCCATTCCATATTATGCTACCAACTTGGCAACTTGTGTATATTTATTATGTTTTTTTGATTATTTAAGAGTGTGAAGCTTAATACTCTTGTTCCTTTGTTATTTATGTAGATGTCACAATCTCAATCCGAAGAGATGAATTATGAACATGTGAGTTCAAGCAATCCCAATACACAATCAAGTGTAGGTGTATGTCCAACTTCAATTAGCAATCAAGAAGATGTCAAAGGAAAGAAGAGGAAATCAATGAAGCCAAGATCGATGGTGTGGGACCATTTCACAAAGTTTGAAGATGACAATAAAGACATGAAGGCTAAATGCAACTATTGTGCTAAGGTATTTGCTTATAATCCTTCAAAAAATGGGACAACCTCACTTAGGTCTCATATTTTGACTTGTAAAAAAAACCCTTTTAGTTGTATTGACTCTACACAAACTCAATTATACCTTAGAAGGCTTGAAGTGGGAGAAAATAGTCTTAGCACATGGAAGTTTGATCAAATTGTTAGTAGAAAAGATTTAGCTGAAATGATCATTCTAGATGAACTTTCATTTAAGCATATAGAGGGTAGGGGATTCAAAATTCTTTTGTCTAATTTGCAACCTAGATTCAAACTTTCATCTCGTTTTACGATTTCAAGAGATTGCTATCAACTTTATTTAGATGAGAAAATAAAGTTGAAGCAATTTTTAAAACAAAATAGTCAAAGAATTAGCCTCACTTACGGACACATGGACATCCATTCAAAGAATCAATTACATGTGTTTAACTGCTCATTTTATTGATAATGATTGGAAGTTGCATAAAAAGATCTTGAATTTTTGTCCGATTGATAGTCATAAAGGAGTAGATTTAGGTATTACCATTGAGAAGTGCTTGATTGATTGGGGAATTGAGAAGGTTTTTAGTGTTACGGTTGATAATGCAAGTTTGAATGATGTGGCAATTAGACACTTAAAAGATGTGATTAAGAATTGGGGTTATAGCATCTTAGATGGAGAATTCATTCATATGAGGTGTATGGCACATACTTTGAATCTAGTTGTTGCTTGATGGGTTAAAACATTTTAATCCTTCGATCGTTCGTATTCGATCGAGTACGTTAGGTTTGTGAGGCAATCTCCGGCTAGGTTGAGAAGATTTAAGGAATGCATTCAACTTGAGAAAATTGATTCTAAGAGTTTGTTACAACTAGATGTCGCAACTAGGTGGAATTCAACATATTTGATGTTAGAGTCGGCTCTAAAGTTTGAGAGAGCTTTTAAGAGATATGAGCAAATTGATCCTTTATATAGGAGTGAATTTGATGTAGATCTTGGTGATAATATTGTTGGGCCACCTAATGTGGATGATTGGAAGACTTGTAAGAAGATGGTGGGCATGTTGAAAATTTTTTACAACCTTACTTTGCGCATTTCGGGTTCCTTGTATGTGACTTCAAATATTTTTTTTGAAGAGATTTATGCGCTTGAACATGTTTTCAAAAAATGGCAACGAAGTGAGGATTTGGATGATTTTGCATTGGCTAATAAAATGAAGGAAAAGTTTGAGAAGTATTGGGGGGATATTAAGAAAATGAATAAGTTGATTTATATTGCGACAATACTTGATCCTAGGCATAAACTTGTATTGATTGAATTTTCAATCAAGGAATTGTATGGTGATTTAGAGGGTCAAAATATGTCAAATATTGTGAAGGGATCTATAAATGCCATTTATGATTTCTATTGTCGTTCATCATCTCAAGATGAAATTGGCCAAACTAGTGGGAGTTGGGGAATAGATATGGATTGTGCAAATAAAGAAATGATTGATGAAGAAGAAAATAGAATAAAAATGGAGATAATGATGCGTTTTGAAAAATACAAGTATGATATTTGAAGTGGAGGAAATAAAATGGAGTTGGACAAATATCTTGATGAAAGTGCTAAAAATAATAGTGCTGATTTCAAGATTTTAGAGTGGTGGAAAACCAATGCTCCTCGGTTTTCCATCGTTTCACAAATGGCTAGGGATGTATTAGCGGTTCCTGTTTCTACGGTCTCCTCGGAATCGACATTTAGCACCGGAGGAAGAGTTCTTGATCTGCTTTAGGAGTTCTTTAACTCCTACCTTAATGGAATCTCTTATATGTGCTCAAGATTGGATTAAAAATTCATCGACGCCAATTATTATTGAAGAAAATTTACAAGATGTAGAGAAAATGCAAAATGGTAATTTCTATAACTCTTATCATTTAATTTGTTATTTCTTTCCTATATATTAATGATAAAGGGTTAATTTTTTTATCTTTTATTTTTCGAGTTACCAATTGCCGGTGCCACTAACTCTACTACAAATGTTTGATGGGTTGATTACTCGATAGTGTTTTGGCTTTTTGAATGATATGTGTAAGTTATTAAGTTTTTAAGATTGATTTTTTTATTTCGTTGCTTATGCATGGTTGGATGTTTGACTTGCACTTTGGTCAATGCTGCGGCCTACTCGCCTGCCGACCTTGAATTAAATTTTCATTACACATATCAAGGTCTGTCCAAGTGTCCATTGGATGTCCGACGGTGTCCAACGCTCCAGTCGACCAAGCTGTTGAAGGAGGCTCGAAAGGCTCGAGGTTGTCCAAGGTTACAAGCAAGACTTTTTATTGTGAGAAATTTTCTTTATGGTTTTTGGATGTGTAGTCATTTCTAATCTAGATTTTGGTATGTAAGTATGTTGTATTGTTGATGAATCTTTCTTTTTTCTTTTTTTACGTTCTTTGAGGTGTTGAATCTGTTGGTAGTCAAAGACTCAAAGTCTAAGTAAGAATGTTGAATGTTGCTTTCCATATTTCCATATTTTTTGAATGTTGTATGATTTGTATCTTTCAATATTTGGCTATTTGGTGCATCCGATGTGTACGGTTGATTGGTTGATTGGTTCCGCTTAATGCCGTCTACCTTCCGGTGTTTACGTGATTCCGTCTATCGCCTTCGATTGCTACGTGTCTATGTCCGCTTACGCCTAGTGCCTTCGGTTGCTTGCGTTTGGTTTGGTGAGTCTAGTGCATTCTTTTTATTTTTGAGTTTATTGATTTTAGATGAGTTGTTTAGTTTTCTTGCAATTTTAGACTTTAATTTGTTGTTTGTTGGGTGATTTTGGTTCTATTATACGAGCAATGCCGATATTTGTCATGATGGTTGATGGTGGCCAATTAGCCAATCACATATTAGCCTTGTGGTTGTTTCTTTATGTGAATGGTCGGTAAGCTTACCGAAAGCGGCTCCGTGCCTTTGTTAGAGCGAGGTTAGCATCCAATTTATGGTTATCAATCATGTTATCCTTGGAACCTTCTCGTCGAATGTTTTGGAACTTTCATTGTTGTCTTAGTTCACTATCTTGGAACTTTGATTGTCATCTTAGTTTATAAATGACTTGCAAACAATTTTAGGATGTACTATTATATTTTTTTAATACTAAATTAGTTTCTAATACCATAAAAATAAAAATCTTTCACGGGAATAAAAGTTTGGTTATAACCGAATTATTTCGATACCGAATCGAAATAATTCGGTTACAAACCGAATTAACCGAATTTAGTTTGGTTCGGTTTCGGTTTTCATTTTTTCTAATTCGGTTAACCAAAAACCGAACCGAATTAAGCTTAACCGAACCGTTTAACCGTTTGCTCACCCCTACCGCCAACCGTCCAACTCGCCGATATGTATTTTTAGGCTAAATTACAAAAATACCCTTAATTTTGGCGGTAAAAACAATGCCTCCAAGTAATTAACAAAGAAATTGTTATGGATTTGTATGGTTTTTTAGGGTTTTTCACTTGCCCTTCTTTATTACTATTTGTTTTTTATTATTGAATATTTATAGAATGTACAAATAAAGTTTTTGTTCTTAGCTTTGTGGATGAAGTTTTATTGTTTGATAATAGAAGAACATGTAAGGTTGTTTATGGATGTGAAGTTACATATTTATGTATATAGCTTGATATCACCGTTAGAGTTCACTATGGGGAACATAGGAAACATATATACTCCTACTTTTAACTAAATAAATGGATCCGCAAAGGTTCGTCCTACCAACCTAAACATGATTGAGTGCAATAACTAATGCAAAGGTTTACCCTAACAACCTAAACGTGATTGAGTATAATAACTAAAGAAATGGCTTACTTGAATGTTATGCAATACTTTGAAAAATATGATAGCCAAAACGCCATCCTACCTTTAATAAGCATAGCTACCAAGCAACACTCGATGGAGGAAACTATCGACAATGCAAAAGTTGAGGAGAAAATTTGATATACCTATATTCAACACGAGATTGATCAATCTATATTTGATGAAGGTGTTGTTAAGTTAAGGGCTGATGGCAATGATGTTAATTTTAATTTGAATTGATGTGAATGATGTTAATTTAGAAGAGTAGGCGTCTTTCTATTCTTCTTTTTGTCTTTGTTATGCCCATTTATATTTTTCCCTTCTTAAGTTTGTTAAACTATTCTTTTTTTTTTTTGTAATTTTGTTTTTTACTGAATTTTAATAAGTATTTTTTTATAAAAAAAATAGATAAAAGGTAACTATATATTCGGTAATTGTCATTAAAAAAATAAAAAAAAGTAAAGATAATTTTTTTTAAATCTAAAATAGCTTTTATGAGCTTAAATGTTTTCCTATGATAGTAAAATTTTTTTGAGTATAATATATATATATATATATATATATATCTGTGTGTGTGTGTCCGTGTGTGTGTGTGTGTCCCTATGATAGTAAACAAAATTTAAGTATAAAATAAAATATTTATGTTTTTTTTTAATATGTAAACTATTTTAGTTAAATTTTAAAAATTTAAAAACTTGTAAAATCAAAATATGTAAATTATAGTATATTCTTTTGAGGTATTATAAAATTATAAATAGCATTCAAAAGTTTAAAATTTAACTAAAATCTTTTCATATTTAAAAAATACTATAAATATTTTATTTTATACTTCAAATTTGCTTACTATCATAGAGATAAATTTAAATGCATAAAGAATATTTTGAATAAAAAATTATTTTTATCTTCATTTTTTAATATTTTTTATTTTTAGAGAGAATACCTAGATATATCTTCATTTATTTTGCATTTTTTTTAAATTTATTTATTTAAATTCGAGAAAAAAATTAAGATAGAAAAATAGAGTAGAGGAATGAGATTATGACGAAACAATTAATTTTGTTAGTCCAAAAATTAACAAAGGATCGAGATAAGACAAAAACCAAATGCGAGAGAGATAAACTTAAGTCGAAAAAGGATAGGATACCATGATAAAAACAAAACAAAGAGTGGAGGAACCTCTAAAACTATTAACCTATTTAGGAGTTGATGGTGACATAGAGGGTGATGGTGAAATAAAGGTTGATGTTGACTTAGAGAATGAAGATCAATTTGATGTAGGAGATGATGGTGACTTTCTTATCAATATCAAAGAGGACAATGTGCATTATGATAATGATTATAAGGATCTTGATTTTCATTTGAGTAACTTTAATAAATCGATGAGGGTAATAATGACTTTGAATTGTATAATTAATATATTGATTATGAGATAGCATGTGGGAGAAACACTAATGAGAAAGGAGAGTCTAATATGGTAGAAGGTAGTTAAAGAAGAAGTTACTTGAATGTTATGTCATACTTTGTCAAATATGATAATGAAAGCATCCACATATCTTTAAGAAGTATAGCTAATGAATAACATTAGATGGAGGAAACAAACAATATGACAAAAGTTGGAGAGGAAACTCTAGATATCTATATTGAGCACGTGATTGATCAACCTATATTTGATTAGAGTGTTGTTAGTTAAGGGCTAATAGGGGTAACATTAATTTAGGTGCTGATGGAGATATAGAGGATGGTGGTGAAATAAAGGTCGATGTTAATTTAGAGAATGAAGATTGGTTTGATACAAAAGGTGATGGCAATTTTTTTATCAATACGTAATAGGATAATCTGTGTTATGATACTAAATTTGAGGATTCTGATTTCCATTTGAGTGATTTTAATGAATATGATGAAGGTGATAATGATTTTGAATTGCAAAATCAATATGTTGATTATAAGATAACGGGGAGGGAAAACCAATGAGGAAGGATAGTTTAACATGGTGGAAAGTAACTAAAGAAAGGGGTTACTTAAATATTATATCATACTTTAAGAAATATAATAGTAACAAAATGAACTTAATTTTAAGAAGTATAGCTAATGAACAATAATTGATAGAGGTAAGTAACAATATGACAAAAGTTAGGGAGGAATTTCTCAAAATCTATATTAAGAAAGGGATTGATCAATTTATATATGATAAGAGTGTTGTTAATTTAAGAATTGATAGGGTGCTCGTTAATTTAGGTGTTCATGGTGAGGATGGTGGTGAAATAAAGGTTGATGTTGTTTTAAAGAAGATTAGTTTGATATAAGAGTGACAGAGATTTTAAAATCAGCTTGGAAAAAGACAATGTGTATTATTATACTGATTATGAGGGTCGTGATTTCCATTTAAGTGATTTTAATAAATTTGATGATGTTGATAATGACTTTGAATTGCATAATAAATATGTTGATTATGAGACAAGAGGTGGGGTAGGTAGTAATAAGGGTTTAATAGCAAAAATTACTCCTAAAACATTAAGATTGTGGCAATTTAAGTCATTTACTATTAATTTGTGTTATTTGGATCCCCTAACTATTATTCTCTGCGTAAATGTTATTCTTCTTCCTTTACATTTGACAATCAAAGATTTGATTGTTAACTTCAATACTTAAATAATATTTTTTTGAGAATTTTTAAGGTATTTTTTTTCCTCAAAAGAAAAATAATTTTATATGGTTGATATGGATTATATGTCATATAAATAAGTAACAAATATTTTCTCGTTTAGCTCTATTAAATCAATTCACTAAATTGAACTAGAGAGTGTGAGTTAAGTTTATTTTGATCAATTTCTTCTTTTTAATTTGATAATGATTGTGAGATTTTGAAGGTGATTGAAATTTGATAGAACAATGAGAGAGTAATTAAGGTTTTACTTTAGAGGAGGCAAGTGCTAGGTATTTGTGAATATCCGACTAAGTCCAAATATGTTTTGAATCTATTTGGGTATTTTTCGAAAGTATTTTGTCTTTCTTTTTGTCATTTTTTGATGTTTTGCTATTAGAGATTAGATTATAAATTTAGAATCTATGAAAAAAGTTATGGCCCTTACACTTTTTTGTTTGTGCTTTGTCAAAAACAAAGGTCAAATTCCAAAATTGGCCTTGATATTGCATATTGGAGGAGAGTTTATTTGAAATCTTTTAAGTACCTTTTTTTTTCTTTTCATTTTTTATCCTTGGAACAATTGATTAGATGTTATGGGTGAGTTGATCCTAAAAGCTACATTGTAGACTTTCAAAAAATGTTGTTATCCTAGAAAGTCTACTTATATGTGTATAGAATGAAGAGTCATTGTTTCCATATTTGGATATTTTTTAAGCAAGAGAATATGAAGTTCTTTTGTAGAGGGTGCTACTAAAATTGTGAATATTGTGAATGCATTTATTGAATTTAAGGATGGTGTTTAGAGTGTGGTCTAGAAACCAAATATAGGAACAAATACATATGGTCATGATAGAAGTGGTAAGGGTAGCATTGGTATTGGGTTAAATGATCCCGTAATATCTTAATAAAATAAGGATATTTATTTAAATAATGAGAAAGAATAATTTAATAATATAGATAGTTGTACTTGGATAATATAAAAAGCATAACACCCAAGATTATGTGGGTTATGGTTTTGAAAGTATTGAAGTAGGGCATGTGTCAAATAACATCATGAGGAAAGAAAGTGATAATGTATAGTGGCAACACTAGGGTGCTAGAGAATGAAGTGGGAGAAAATGTATAATCTAGTTCGGATGAGGGGTGAGTGTGATAGTGTATTAGAGTTGGATGATGATGCTGAATTCATTGATATTCTATGGCGTAGTACTAATGATGATGAAGATTTGGTTGTTCTTATAAAGAGCTTTGTAGAGTTAAATAGTACAAGAGAAAAAAAAGATATTTATATTATTCTTAATGCACCAATAGTTGATAGTACACAATCAAAAACCAAATCCTTAAAGGTAATGATACCGAAGAAGTGGATATTCTTGTTAAGTGTTTGTGAGTTTGATTCAGATAAAGATAGAAGTCATGAATCAAATAGCGAAGAGGGTAGTGAGATAGAACAAGTAAGGAGAAGAAAGTCTAAACTTTTTATTTTTATGACACTACTAAAGATCTTTAGTTTTTGCTTGACATGGCTTTTATAAAAAAACAACAAATTATTTGGGTTTTAAAAGATCATTGTGGCATTAAAAGAATAGAGATTGAATATGTCAAGCATGATAGTTAAAAAGTTAGAGAAAAGTGTAGTGATGAGAATTGTTAATGGATGTTCTATGCAAGATATAAAAAGCACACATTTAACTTTGAGTTTATAACAAAGGAAGAACAATATACCTATTAACACTAATTTTTACCCTACTTAATTTTCTTAATCTTGTGAGAAAAAAATACAAATAAAAGAAAATATAAAAAAAGAAAAAAATGAGAATTATTTGAAAAAATGATATGGGGGTTCAATTAAAAAAATATAAAGAGTAGGAACCAAAGAAAACATAATTAAGGGTGTAATTAAAGGGGTTAAGACCTAAGATTTTAATTAAAAGAAGGGGATGGCCTTATTGAGGGAAAAACCAAACAAATCAATATTGAAATTAAAATATAGGAGAAACCAAAGACTAAAATTAACGTTTACCTAAAACCCCGATTTTCTCTTATAAATACCTAACCCTTTCAATTATTTAGGCTAGACATGGATCCTAAAAAACAAAAGCCCTAAAGAACCTAAAAATCTACCAAATAGTCTCTAAGGAAGAAGAGACCTAGCCCTTATAGGTCGGACTCGTACACCTATCGATGATTCTCTTCCTAAATTAGCCATCCTATGGCTAATATAGCCTCTAGCCACCACCTTTGATCAATATTCCATACCTAAACCCATCATTCTCGACTAGTTAAAGAAGGAGGGGATGTCAAAGATGGTCGAAATTGAGGAGAGAAGGGCTATGACTTGACCCATTTAGATATCTAGTCAATTCTCCCAATTTTATCCAAACCAATAACTACCACCATCACATAAATGCCCCTTATCCTTTTAGAAGAAGTTCCTCCTAAAAATTATGGCTCAACACTATCGAAATCGACCTAATCGAAGCTCGAACCCATTTCTCGACCCATTTGATGCAACTCGACCTAATCGACCAATCAAGGCTAAATCAAACCTCCTAACCACTAGAGAAACATTCCTCATGGCCTTCTAAGTAGATTGATGTCTTCCACATGACTCTTCATGGATGAGAACATGATCGAAAAGAAATCCTAAAAGAAATAAATTTGATCATCGTTGATATCTCTCCTTCAACCATAGTGGATGACACTAACAGCATTGATAGAGAGAGGAGATCCGGGTGGACCTTTCCCGACCATCCATGCATCCATGCATCACCGGACGGTGATCGGAGTTGTTGGCATTGGTGTTGGGGTTTTTAGAGGGATTTTGGTAATTTTCTCCACTAGGGCATTTTGTTCATTTTATAATTGACCAAGGGAATTTCAATCATTTATAATAGCATCTTCAATGCTTCAATGGGTAGTAGTTTTCCCTCCTAGCTAACTAAATAATCAATTTTTATTGGGGTTGAAAAAAGTGAAACCGACCCTAAAAAAGATTTTAGACAAATTCAACACTTTCCAACAGCTTATTTGGGTAACGTTCAAAAATTTATATCCATTTGATATTATTGATTAAATGGCTTTATTTTGAAAATATAAAATTGATTTTTTTTTTTATGATTATTAAGAAATTTAAAGTGTGATTAGATACAACATTGTGTATTAAGCCTAAAAGGATTGGAAACCTTAGGTATTTTGAGGTGAAATAAGATAGATTGATCAATGCTTTGTGATGGAGTTTGGAGGACGAGCTTGATTTTTAATTTTAATGATGGATCTAGGATAAATAATAGTCCCGACGTTTGCATATTTATGTGATGTTGCTTGTGTTGTGATTTGGTATATTTGGTCGTGATGTGCTAAATGTGTAATATATAAGTCCAATCATTTTACATGTTTGTTGCTCATTTGAAACAAAGCTATTTATGGCTTCCCACCTATGTGGTTGAAGCCACCACCGACTTTCAAATTATTTTACCCGATGTTCTATGTGATTGAAAGGAAGCCATCGGTGGTTATCCACCTATATGACAAAGCCGTCGGTAGTTTCTAAATTATTTTACTTCTAATTGTTTGAAATGAAGTTATCGGTGCCTTTCCATGTATATGGTTAAAGCCACCAATAGCTTCCAAATTATTTTACCTTATTTTCTATGTGATTTAAAAGAAGTTTTCGATGGCTTCCCATCTATATAGACGACGTCGCCAATGGCTTTCAAATTATTTTACTTGTTTTTTATTATGAACAAAGTCGTCGATGACTTCCCATTTGTGTGAATGAAGTTGTGAATGGCTTCCCAAATGATATGATTTGAAGTCTTTAATGACTTTTTAAATGTTGTGAATGAAGCCATCAACGGTTTATGGATGAAGTCATCAATGGCTTCTCAAATGATATATATTGTTTGAAGTTGTTAGAGGCTTCCTAATGTTATAAATGAAGTCATCAATAGCTTCTCACTTGTATGGATAAAGTTGTAGTAGCTTCTAAACCTTTTTTAAATGTCTTGTTGTTGTTTGAATTGAAGTCGGTGGTGGCTTTTCACTTATGTGATAAAGCCGTCGTAGCTTTCCTAAGCTCATGATTCGAAGTTGTCGATAACTTCCCACTTATGTGAGCAAAGTTGTTAGCAACTTCATATCATATCGATAACGACTACCAATCTCTAGAAAATCACCTATTTGTCGTTATGGGTCATGTTCATTAAATATTAGCAAAAATTTTAATCTCTCCCATCTTTTTCCTTTGAGTATATGTATTAGCCTTAGATTTGCATGAACCTTGAATTACTCTGTTTTCCCATTCTAATAGAATAAATTTACTTGAATATGCATTGAAACATAATATAATAGAACCAAATTTTTATTTTTGCATGTATTCAATGCAGCTTACCTTAGGTAGAATGGGATGATGGTGATATTATAGCTTCTCCATATGTAACTCGATCCTTTATTCGATATCTATGCAATTGGTTTGTTTAGGGTTTCTTAGTTTTTTTTTTTTTTATTAGCTAAGTGGCAAATCCATTTCCCACCTTCCTACGAGCCTTCATTGACAATAGATGTCAAATTGCATTTAAGAATATAAGGATTAGGTCAAGTGCTATTGCAAACTACTCCATCAATAACTTTAGGAGCATTTCTTTAAAAATGGATAAA